ATACTCGCTATCTCACCTGGATTAACAGTATAGTTCATAATGGCACCAAAGGACTTGTTATGGTCTGTCAGGTCAATGTGCAAATTAAAAAAGATTTATTGGTAGACAGAGGCTTCCTTTGGAGCTGTTACAGGGTGTATTGTCAATCTAGCTGCCTTGCATGTGCACATTGTGATTACATGCTAAATGTCCGTACAGAAATTTTACTGAACAAAACCTGGACACTATTTCTAAACTAGTCAGCTATATTGTACTATATTCGGTGAAGAACAAATCAATTTTTAAACATTTACAATATACTAGGGCTGTCGATTATTCGCAGTTAACTCACGCGATTAACAAAAAATAATTGCAATTAAAAAATTAATCGCTATTAATTACAGTTTTAATCTCACTGTTAAACAATAGAATACCAATTGAAGTTTATTAAATATTTTTGGATGTTTTCTACATTTTCAAATATATCGGTTTCAATTACAACACAGAATACAAAGTGTACAGTGCTAACTTTATATTATTTTTAATTACAAATATTTGCACTGTAAAAATGATAAACAAAAATAGTATTTTTCAATTCACCTCATACAAGTACTGTAGTGCAATCTCTTTATTATGAAAGTGCAACTTACAAATGTAGCTTTTTGGATACATAACTGTACTCAAAAACAAAACAATGTAAAACTTTAGAGCCTACAAGTCCACTCAGTCCTACTTCTTGTTCAGCCAAATGCTAAGAGAAACAAGTTTGTTTACATTTACGGGAGATAATGCTGTCTACTTCTTAATTACATTTTCACCTGACAGTGAGAACAGGCTTTCATTGGCACTGATGTAGCTGGTATCGCAAGGTATTTACGTGACAGATGTACTAAAGATTCATATGCCTCTTCATGCTTCAGCCATCGTTCCAGAGGACATGCTTCCATGCTGATTGTGCTTGCTAAAAAAATAATGCCTTAATTAAATTTGTGACTGAACTCCTTGGGGGAGAACTGTATGTCTTCTGCTCTGTTTTACTCACATTCTGCCATATATTTCATGTTATAGCAGTCTCAGATGATGACCCAGCACATGTTGTTCGTTTTAAGAACACTTTCACTGCAAATTTGACAAAATGCAAAGAAGATACCAAAGTGAAATTTCTAAAGATAGCTACAGCACTTGACCCAAGGTTTAAGAATCTGAGGTGCCTTCCAAAATCTGAGAGGGACGAGGTGCGGAGCATCCTTTCAGCAGTCTTAAAAGAGCAACACTCTGATGCAGAAACTACAGAACTCAAACCACCAAAAAAGAAAATCAACCTTCGGCTGGTGGCGTCTGACTCAGATGATGAAAATGAACCTGTGTCGGTCTGCACTGATTTTGATTGTTATTGAGCAGAACCAGCCATCTGCATGGACGCATGTCAGACAGAATGGTGGTTGAAGCATCCAGGGACACATGAATCTTTAGTGCATCTGGCATGTAAATATCTTGCAACACTGGCTATAACAGTGCCATGCAAACACCTGTTCTTTCTTTCAGGTGACATTGTAAACAAGAAGCAGACAGCATTATCATCTGCAAATGTTAACAAATTTGTTTGTCTGAGCGATTAGCTGAACAAGAAATAGGACTAATTGGACTTGTAGGCTCTAAAGTTTTACACTGGTTTATTTTTGAATGCAGGGTTTTTTTGGTACATAATTCTACATTTGTAAGTTGCACTTTCATAATAAAGAGATTGCATTACAGTACTTGTATTAGGTGAACTGAAAAATACCATTTCTTTTGCTTTTTACATTGCAAATATTTGTAATAAATAAATAAAATAAAAATAAATATAAAGTGAGCACTGTACACTTTGTATTCTGTGTTGTAATTGAACTCAATATATTTGAAAATGTAGAAAACATCAAAAAATATTTAAATAAATAGTATTCTATTATTAACAGCGCAATTAATTTTTTTAATCACTTGACAGCCCTACAAAATTCAGTATGTATGAAATCAGGACTACCACCAGTAAAATCTCTCAGTGCCAGTTTCATCATGGCATAATTTAAGGAACAGAACTGCAATTCTCTTAACCTGCCTTTACCCAGATGCTGAACCCCACTTTTGACCCTGCCTCCCTTATGGTCAGAATTCTGCTTCCCTCCCTCTGGATTACCCCCCAGCTTAACAGCATTAACCCACAATTCCTGCAATTGTTAATAAAAGCACAGTTTATTTGTCATAGAGTAGAAAATAAAGAGAAAATCACAAATACGTGTTAGGCAGCATATAAGCAGAGCTGGGCTCTAAGCTGTTAAAGAGAATATTGGTTAGCAAAGACGAATCTCTAACTCTACAGAGAACTATTTGCCCAAGGTAACTACGGTCACCCTGTCTGGCTTTCCACACTCCAGGAAGGCCTCTAATTTAAGGCATTCTGAGGCATTCTGTGCCCTAGATCGTCTCTTATGCCCTTTTGGAAAATCAAGTTTCTTTCTTCTCATGAAACCTCTATCCTCTCTGGTATCCAAGGGTCTCATTATCCACTATGATAACTTCCTATACCACTATATGGGAGCCTTATCCTTCATTCCAGCCTCAGCAGGTATGGACAATACATGACATCTTCTTTGATTACTTCCTTCCAGTCCTGTACATATAACCAAGAGTTTGAATGATTTTCCAATTGCATATTTGAGATGGGCCTTTGGTTCCTCACTTTTTCTCCCAGTCCCAATCACTGGAAATACTCATTTGGGCAGGGCAGCTAGACTCACTTGTTTTGAACTGTCTGTTCCAACTACAAAAATACAAGATATTCACAAATCAATTACATAAAGCTTCAGAAATTTAATACAAAAATTACAAAACAAGTATCCAGGCTCCTCCTCAATCATGAAAATGCTGGGACATATGCTCATAGGACTATTTTGGAAGTTCACCTTCAACTCTGATTGTAGTAAACACCAAATGCTGCATAGAAATGGTGTTTCTCAAAGACTAATTCCTTAACACAGTTAAGACACCTTGAAACTGTCACACCACACATCTTACCTTGACTTCTAGTTTAAAATTACATTTTAAGGGGGGGAAAGCCCTCTCCTGTTCTATTTTGAAAAAAAAATAAAATGCAAAATAAATAAATGAAGACAATTTTACAGGTCCTCCTTCAGCTAAACCTTTCAGCCACTTCAATGAGAAGATAATCTTTCTGTGATTATGACCAAACCCTCTCGTTGCTTAGCAACACATAATTAAGGAATATGTTTTCAGATCCGCTTTGCAAGCTGGCCATTATCTGATGAAATTACTGGAGCAACAAATGTCATCCTCATGCAAATGAGTTGGTTGTAGAGAAAGAATGTTTGACTTGTGAAGAAGAGGGCTCAGGATCTCAGAAACATTGTTGGTTTCTTCTTGTCATACATGGATTTTTTTTTAAAAGGAAGAGAATAGTATAGACTTTTAAAGAACTTAATTCACAATTTAAATATGAGGAATAATGGAAGGAATGTTAAATTTATCCTATGGGAAAAAATCATTCAAAATGTATACACCCCGGCAGTCCCTTGCAGCAGTATTAATATGTACTTTCACTCCAATGTTACTAAAGTAATCAGCTGGATCAGATGCACTGCAATTAAATTAACATTTGTGTTCTCAGTATTATGTCAGTTTCATTTTTCAGGCTTTTGGAAATTGTTTATTCAAAAGCCTGCCTGGATGTCCTTCCTTTGTGCCTGAATCATGTCAATACACATAATGTTGATGAATATTTAAATATGATCTATATTTATAAATTACACAAATTAAATACAATAGTCACAAAAGAGGAGGAATCAACTTTTTAAATCTGTGATTGCAGGAAAGGGGGCGGGAGGTCTGAATTTTGACAACTTTATCATTTCCACTTGCAAAATAGTTCTTTATTTAGATTCCCATGGAATGTCATCACTAGCTTGGCACAGTTTCCATGCCTATAAATGGTATACTTTTATTAAGGCATTTTATGCGTGCGCTTGTACAGTACATTGTTCACAATGTGTTTGTATGGTGGTTCAGCTGTGCTGTGCAGAGAAATAATTCCCTCCCATACAGTCACTATCACTGTGCACAAAAAAAACATTTTAAAGGGGTTTTAACATTTATCAGAAAAGTCAAAGTAACAAATGAATGGGATCTTCTAAATTTCCTTTTACTGCAAAATGCATTTCCTATGGTACTTTTTGTTGGTCTTTGACTAGTGAGTATCAATTTATATTTTCCAAATTGAAGCACTAAGTCTGTTTGAACCATTTAGCCCTAAACAAGGAAGGGATTTGAACATTTCTGAAGACAAAAAGAGGAGGAAAAAAGGGGCAACCACTCCTTTTTATCATTCTAGCGGTTAATCATTGACTTTAACATTAAGTGTCGACCTAGTTCCTTAATAGTTACATTGCCACACTTATAAGTACTCCTAATAGGAAATCAAGAGTTTTATTTTAGGTGTCTGATAAAACAGTAAATTAATTAAAAAAAGACTATGGTAACTGCCAAAGGTAAGTCAATTCTGGAACTAACACCATTAGCTATCTGATAAATTTAGGCAAAACAATGCTAACCATTTCCTCTGAGAAACATATTTGTGCCCGATAACAACTGTAAGAAGTAAATCTACAACTAACCCTGTAGCCTAATTGCTCAGAAAATGCAGTATCTAATCTTCTGTTCCGTACAAACAACAGGAACAGCAAGATTCATAGTAGAACAATTATCTGATATACCAGTCACTTTATCTGAAGTTAGCTAATCAAATAAAATACTCTGAATTTAATCGCACTGTGAAAGGCAGAACTGGAAACGCTCAATAACTTGTGGCCCCGGGGTAAACCTATTTGCCCCACTTTTTTGTGCATAGGGATGTATCTAATATTTTAGCCCTAAATCTAACTGGATTAGACCCAAATTTATCTTACGATAAACACACACAGACATAACTCTCCTAGAGCACACTACTAATGAATACACTTTTAGAAAATTACTTGGTTCAGGTGACGCCATGGTTGAGACAATAACTGGTGGTCCAGTGCGTCTGGTGAGTTTCTGATAAGGAGAATGTTGCATGTGAAAACTTGGGCCAGCAAGTGCCAGGGTGGAATCCATTTGGGCTCCTTGCTTTCGGAGAAGCTGAGGGCTGCTGTGTGGGCTATGCATTGGGGACATTGACGTATTTCGGTCCCTCTTCAGCAGCTCCATGGGCACTGTGTAAGTAGTTGTATATGCTGTTTTGGGACTTGCATGTGGGTTAGTCTGCACTGTAGTCCCTGGTAATCCAGTTGGGGTGGAATAGGCAGACACTGGACGAGTGTGCATGTTGCATGGTAAAGGAGTGTTGTATCCAGAATTAGCTAGAAAATGAGCACCTTGATGAGTTGCCCCAGATGCAGAATAAGTTGCAGTTTCCAGAAGGTGCTGTGTGGGGGCACTGGATGGGCGACGATTTATTTCTCCTACTCTTGGTGATACTGGCTGTAGAGAAGGAGGAAGTGGTTGCTGCATAGTTGTGCCGTCTACACCAGGACCCGTGGCGGGGTGCATGCCATATTCATTCTGCAGCAGTTCACTTCGATGACTAAAGCTGTTAGATCGGGTCCTGGGACGGAGTGTGCTGTTCTTCCTATCATGCCTTTGTAGCTGAATTTCTGTTTTGTAGTTATGGGCAATGCGGGAAAGCACCCTGGCCTGTCCAAGATTCGGAGCTACAGATTTTATATCATTCTCTTCCATCATCGCGAGCAGGCTCGGAGAATCAAACCCTTGCTGCAGCAAAGCATTGAATGTGCTTTCGGACACGCCTTCTGAACGCAGAAGTGCTAGGAACTCCGGATCAAAGTTTCTTTTAATGTCTTGTCCTGGAAAAGCTGAGGGCATCTGAGAATGGGAAGGAGTCATGGCAGATTCATAACTGTCATAAGGAATCTTTGCATTGACATTTTCCCTGATGGGTCCATAACCACGATTTACAGCAACGGCAGATGGACCTATGCTCCCATCAGGAACAGTAGCAGAATTTGGATCGACTACCAAGCACGTTGGAGTAGTTTGTCTAGCAGCTGCAGACTCTATAGGTCTCTCTGCTGTATCACTATAGACCTGCCTGTTGGGAAATGATGATGGTTCTGTTCCATATCTAGGGGTGGGCTGTTCAACACCATACCTTGCAGGAGAAGGATCTCTGTTTCGCATTCTCTGCCCCTCTTGGATCATTTTACTCATGGGATCCCTATACATACGGCTGGCTTCGTGTTGGGCAGGTGACCGTCCTTGTACCTGATCCCAAGCCAATCTGCTACTGGGAATCCCATAATTCGGTAATGATCTATTAATCATGTGGTCTCTATAGTAGCGTGGATCTTTAGGTGATCTAGCGGCTAAAGATGGGTCACTGTAATAATCCTGAGATGGCAAGGAGCTTCGTCCAGACATTGCAGCCTGTCTGTCGTAGTAAGTGAAGTCGGGAACAGAACCCTTCCGTAAGGGACCCTGGTTAAAAACTGGATCCTGATATGGGTATGGCTCTTGCTTCAATTCCACACCTCCTTGCAAGATGATATCATGCGGTCTATGGTTTGGCTGCTCATACCAACCTCCTTCTCCACCGTAAGTCAGCGAATTTCTCCTCCCTGTTGGTCTCTGATATTCAAATGCATTTTCATTCTCCCAGTTGCCTTCATACCATCCTGCAGCATCCCAGCTCTGAGAACGGCCGATATTTGTATGCTTACTTGGAATTGGCATTGGAATGAAACAATTGACTTCTGTTGAGATAAAGAAGAGAAGGAACCTCTCTTTTTAAATCTTCTATTACACACGTCAAAAACAGATCGAGCTGTATCTGAGCTCTTCTGGGACTTCAGAAACAACCAAGTGGTGGTTTTATATTTCAAAGTATTGCCTGAATTATTAATTCTTCGAAACTTTAGTAGACAAAACACACAACACCCACTGTAACTCAGTCTCACTCCAAAACCGAAGAATGAAAGGTCTTTTCTGTATAGTTCAGTCACAGACAAGGGTTGCTGCATTTAATCCAGATGGTTTATCCCTTCCTGCTTGGGACAGTTTGCTCACATGGACAACTGGTCTAGCAGTGTGTGAGGATTATGAGCTAAATAAAACCCCTAAAGCCTTTGTTCCATGTGACATCACTTTAGCCCGATGAAACCTTCTGCGCCAGCCGATCCAGCAACCTCAATATAATTTCTCTTCTGAAAATTATTTTTACATTTTATTTGTATATACGTTCATATATATGATACATATATGTGTATATATATATAAAAATAAATAATAAAAAAGAAAGCTTCAGTGTCAGCTCAATCTTAATCCATCCTGATGAAATGCTAATCCACGGCACACAGCTAAGGACAAATTAAATGGAAGAAGGCAGACAAGCCTAAAAAAAGGCTGATGCAAGAAACTCAAGAATATAAGACACTGGCTAGAAATTTCTTAGGTATCAGTAGAACACTTTACGAATATTGTAATTTGCTTTGGAAATTACGTTTTTTTGTTGCAGTTTCAAATTAGCTCCAAAAGGATTCTTTACATTATCATAATACTCAAATCCTTTCATCATCCCAGGAAAGAAAATTGCGGAGGTGTAATCTGGAATTTATAATTTTAAGACCCTAGAAGAGGTCACAGTAAAGGAAGGGAGGATCAAAGGATCTTAAACCTGGTATTACAAAGCAAAAAAAGGGAGTAGTAGACTTTTGTCTATTATCTCCTGGCTTCCTTTAACTATATGTTTATGAGATGGAAAAACACTCAGACATCAGACAAAACTCAATTTTTGTATCTTGCAGCATTTCAATAGTCATATGGCTTAGGCTTTTTAAGCTGAAAGTAGGCAAAGGGATTTAGATGGAATCACACCAAAGAAAATTGTTATTTAGAAACATACAAAAATTTTCCATACAAGGTTACCATTTTTGGGAGAGATATTAAAATAATTCTCTAAAACACAGATCAACTGTCACATCCTGCAAATGCTCAAACAGTCGTTGTTTTTGCAAGAGTAGAGCAAATATTATATTTTGTTTACCAACCATCACCTACACTGCAATACTTCTGTTTAAAAAAAATTTAAATGGAAATGAATCTGTTTCTTTCTCTGCTACAGTAAAAATGTCAGCATTACAAATATGCAAATTTCAGGTCTGAATTACTAAAAGGAGTAATAGACACCTTTTTAGGGAGGTCGGGAGGAGGGGGGGGAACAGCTTGTGCATTTTTATGGCTAATCCACAATAAATGTTTCGTGCACTAGCCATCACATGATGAAGTATTGTGCTATTATGATAGCTAAGTCACTAATACAGTCTAATGCTTATACTTGCCTATCATACTAATACCTCTGGGCTATATTTCTGACCCAAATACTGACAGGATCTCTTAGTAATCCCTAAATTTCTTTATTGCAGTAAATAGTACAAAATCCTCTTCAAACATCCTCCCCCACAAAGAATTCAAGTCTTTAAAAATATTCTGGATATTTTATAGACATACAAAAAAAAAATGCCCCCACAAGATTATTTATGCATTTTTGGACAATATCTGATTAGCATCATATTGAATTAACTAACAGAATTAAGGCACACTGGAAAATTTCTTCCTGTGTGAGTCAAAATGGAAAGACAAGTTTGTAGCTGATGAATAACGGAGAACATCTTGGCCTACAAAAATATTTGATTACAACCTTTTTCTTAAAAGGGTAAAATATATTCCAAACTAGCTACATTAAAATCCAAGTTGTTTGGTTGTTTTTAATACTGTTATTTTCTCTGTTATCAAAGTTCTGACGCAGAAGAGAGCTAGGAAAAATTATATAATTTTATACAATAAAATAGTATTGATATTCTACAGTTCAAGAGCATCTTTCAGCCAGTGATTTAAAAGGAAATCATTAATGAATTTAGTCACAACACCAAGATTGGTGGTATTATCCTCAACACACAGCTGAAAAAACTAAGTCACAGAGACGTTAAGGCCCATATTTTCTAGTGTTCATTAATTTAGGTGCCTCATTTTCAGAGGTGCTGAGAAAGACAACTGCAGTTGAAATCAGTGGGGACCTTGGGCTGTTCAGTACCTCTTAAAATGCCCCCCAGGCCCTCGGGTCTCAAGTTGGGCACCCAAAATATTAGATACCAAAATCTAGTTGCAAATGTGTAGAGACTTGCTCAAGTTCACACACAAACTGAAGAAGAACCCCAGAAAAAAACCTAGGTCTCATGACTCCCTGTCCCATGTCCTAGCGAGAAGACCATATTTCCCCATTACTGAAAGCATCAGTCCAGGCTCTAAAAATTATCATCCAGCAACTGCATCTATTCTTCTCTTTAGATAAAGAAATGCTGTGAAAGTCAAAAATGTGGTGGAGTGCTCAGTAACAATGTCTGTGTTCCTGCTTTATAGGAGCCAGCAAACTAACATTTTAGGCCCTGATCCTGGCAACACTTCTGCATATGGTTGAATTTAAACACATGAGCAGTCCCATTGACTTCAATGGATCTCCACAAGTGCTTGAAGTTAAGCACGTGTGTGTGTGTACAGGATCAGGGCTTTAGTGAAAAGTCAAGCCACTTTTCCACAACACTAAGTTAAAGAAATTCTTGTGTCCTCACTAGAGAGTGTATTTCTATTCTATTTACTTTAACAGCTGCTGAGCAGGAATTCCAGCAGCCTTTCAGTCTAAACTATCATCTCCCTGAAAACCCTCTGCTTAGCCCAGCCATGTCTGCTCTGCCCTCGCTCTAACTTCTCTGTTAAGGTGGACACAGACTATTTGCTCAATGAACACAAATGAGAGCACAGATGTGACCGTGACAGCCAGCATGAAATATGATGGGGGGAAAAAAACCAAAAAAGTTAACTTCCCCACTGCACCAGAAAATGAGTAAGAAATATTTTAAATGAAATACAGATAGAGGCAGAGAGCTCTTTTGTTTTTCTTTTTGCACTCTTAAAAACAGTTCCTAGTTCTGTAGCTATTTATAAAATAAGATCCCTGCAACAGTCACCAACAGAGGACTTTATGGAGCAACGTACTGATCCAACGTAACTAATCTGATATAACAGAGTACCTGGGAAAAGAGCAATTCACAAATATTGACATTCCTAATGCAAGGGTGAGACTGAGGAATGTGTTTTACATGCAGCCCATTTTATTGTACCTTATCTTTGAATTTTACAGATATATTAGGAATATTGCAACATGGAACAAAAGCAAAATAATTACCATGATATGAAATGCTTTTGTCTTTGTGAACTCATGAAAAAAATGCACAATTAGAGTTTAAAACAATGGTTTTCAATTCAACAGTGACATAATCGGCATGTGTTCTGCTATGATACGGCAACTGCAAAAATAGACTTTTTTTTTTTTTTAATGTGATGGGTGACTCTGTCATCTAAAATCCCCTCATCTAAAATTGAAGGGGTGAAGATCAAATTTGTATAAGTCAATGGGGTCTGCTAATGGTAAATGTCTAGCTCTACACAGTGCTAGAAAATTCAGTTTTGTATCTGGGAGAGAAGAAAGCATGGATTATATTCTCTTACTTACTTTAGAAAACAGACTATTAAATCTGCAAATGCTAGAGAGTCTACTGTCGCCTCAATGTGTATGTAGAATTCCTATCAGTCATGGGCAGCAGGTGAAGCCCCTCTTTGGGGAGGCTAGCCCCCGGCTCCGCGCCTTCTCCCGTGCCCTCCCCATGGCCAGAGCCCCGAGACCCCCTTCCCCACCCTCCCCCCGCGGCTGGAGCCACAAATCCCGTCCCCCCCACAGTGCCCTCCCCCCCGGCCACAAGAGCCCCGGCCTGGCCGAAGCCCTGAGCACTCCCCACCTTGGCTGGAGGAGCCCCGGGCTGGTCAAAGCTGAGCCGTGCCTCCCTCCCCGGACCCAACCCGCGCAGGGGAAAAGCATCTGTTAAGACGCTTTTGATATGCCCCATGCAGGTTTGGGGCAACTGAGGTGGTGGTATTTGCCCCCTCAGCTGCCCCGGAACCTGCATGGGGCATAATAAAACAAAAACTTCACCGCCGAACCCCGCAACTGGGGGAGGGAGGGGTGGTCCAGTGGCCGTGGCAGTGCTGGGGGAGGCGGAGCCTCCCCATGCCTATTATACCCGCCGCCCATGCTATCAGTGTAAGTGGAAAGCCCCTTGAGAGGGAATGTGCATAGTGGTTAGGGCAGGGATTACATATCACGACTCCTGGGTTCTATTCCTGGCTCTGCCATTGACTCACTGTGACACTTTGGTTAACTTACTTAACTTCTCTGATCTCAGATTACCCATTTATAAAGTGGGTATCATAATACGTACCTACTTCACTCTGATGCTGTGAAGATATTAATTCATTAGTGTTCTTAACATGCTTTGAGTTCCCTGGATAAAATGCACCAGAAAGGTGCAGCGTAAGAGTAATATTATAGCCCTCTGAATGTCTGCCCTTCTACTGAAAATGCATCATTGTGCATAATGATTGCTGAAGCTTAGGTAGCCCTTTATTGCTTCCTCTGTTTGCACCTCCTCAAGAGGCATTGATGAGGTGGAGTTAAACATTTTCTGGTATATAGTGGATACAAAAGGGGAAAAGGGAATGACATGCACTGTAAATACCACATAAAGAACATAGTTTAAATAAAAATCTAGAGGTGGGTGGGTGGGAGTGTGCGTGATAATCCCTAGGAAGTCATTGTATTTGCTTAAATTTGGCTTTGCAAAAAG